TACCTTTAGTCTTAAATACATCATTGATAAGTTAAAACCATGCAACTAAGTAAAATATTAAAAAGTCCTAAGTTGTACTGCAACAAAGCATCCAATATTACAATTTCGCTTTCTATATTTGTATGTTTATAAGGGTATGGGAATTGTAAGGACTTTTGTAGAGAATTACACAATCTGTGACACATTGGGTCATCATTTCAGAGATATTTCTTTACCAAATTCCTCAATGCCTTCAACAGTGGCAGGGCTTCTAATGTATTGCCTTCATTGGAAAAGTTCTTAAAAATTCAAGAAGATATTCAGAGATCTATCTTCCTTAAAAACAGCCCATTTTGAACTGCATATGTAGCACAGCCAAGAATCAGGAGTTGACCACGGGAAATGTTTTATGGCATTTTATCTTATGTCTAAAATATGATAAAATATGAACCTGGAGAAACAGTGGGAGCGAGTTTTGGCAACATAGAGGATTCCCAGAGAGAGCCTCAGACTAAAAGACTGTGTAATCCTGAGCTGGATGAGAGAGGGAGAAAGAGATTCAGCGTAGCTACAGTCTAGAATCTCTCAGGATATATGTAGTAGTAAGTTATAGCTTTAGTTTGGCAAGATTCTGTCCAATAGGTATAAGCAAATGAACTCGATTGGATTTTGCTGTGTTGTCTCACATAAAATTTTGCTGTGCTTGAGCCTCACATAAAATTTTATAACATTTTTATAAAATATACCAAATTTCATTCCATAGGAGACATGGTTCCAAATTTTGGACACATTCTGTAAGTTTGCCCATTTGAGTATTTTGGTTAATAATTGTTACCCTGCGATGGACTGTTTCGTCCAGTTAAAGGTTACACACAAACAAGATTTTTTAAAATAGTATATAGATGTGCAATATCACATAGTTGGAAAACACACTTGTTTGATCCAGTCAAAGAAGCCCTGCCTCAAGTGTTGGGTGATTTGAAGGTTTTGCCAATATATTATTTTCAAAACTATTTTCTATTTTTCCTGTAATATTAATGCAGGTAGTCCTTGCCTTACAACAGTTTGTTTAGTGACTGTTCAAAATTACAACGGCACTGAAAAAGAGGCTTATGACTGTTTTTCACACTTATGACCATTGCAATATCCCCAAGATCATGTGATCAAAATCCAGACGCCTGTCAACTGATTCATATTTATGCCGGTTGCAGAGTCCTCGGGTCACCTCTTGTGATCTTCTGACCAGCAAAATCAAAGGGGGAAGCCAGATTCACTTAACAACCATGCTACTAACTTAACAACTGCAGTGATTCACCTAACAACGGTGCCAAGAAAGATTGTAAAATGGTCAAAAGTCATGTAACAAATGTCTCACTTAGCAGCAGAAATTTTGGGCTCAATTGTGGTTGTAAGTCAAGGATTACCTGTACTTAATTTTTCATTTAACTGGAAGAAAGAAGAAAACACATTAATGGATTCAAACTTCCCGATTCCTCTAAATTAGTATGAATGGATAGATAACCCTTTCAAGGCTTCCAGCTGAGATCTGAAAATGCCTACTAGCATTTAGAGACTCAAACAAGGTGGAATGCCACTGAGCTACAGCCTTCATGTCCATGATGACTTTAGTTAGAGAATCCAATCTGTTCACTTACCATGTCTGTGCATATTCCAGACATTACACTGTGAAGGATTTTTAAGATATGTAAAGCTTCTATTCCCCCACCACCAAGACTCAGCAGCCTTGGTTGGGGGTTGGGGGGAATGTTAATTGGTGCCCTTTGTACCAATATTGTTTTTGAAGTATTGTCTTTTTTTCCTTATGTATCACTTAAAACAGTTTGGAATGGAAGGACAGAGAAACAAACAAACAAACAAACCATAACCATAATATTATTACTACTATTTTTCACTTTCTGCTTTGGAAATCTTTCAATGTGTTATTTTCAGGACAAGCTAAGTTGAGCCTTTTCTTTTTCCTCTATGAGATTTCAGCTGTGGCTCTATTTATATAATGGTGCCAGGCTTCCAAGCCAAACATAATATAATATGTGGCTCTCTCACTTTTTGGGAATCAACATCTTGCTCTTTTGATGTTTGATTTCTAAACTTATTTTTCCTTCTCAGGGATAATCTCTGTTAAGGGGGGGAGTTAGGCTTTACCATATGATTTTTTTTACTATCCATTAAATCAAGGACGAGAGGGGACATGATAGCAGTATTCCAATATGTCAGGGGTTGCCACAAAGAAGAGGGAGTCAAGCTATTTTCCAAAGCTCCTGAAGGCAGGACAAGAAGCAACGGATGGAAACTAATCCAGGAGAGAAGCAACCTAGAACTAAGGAGAAACTTCCTGACAGTTAGAACAATTAACCAGTGGAACAACCTGCCTCCAGAAGCAGTGAATGCTCCAACACTGGAAGTTTTTAAGAGGAGACTGGACAGCCATTTGTCCGAAATGGTATAGGGTTTCCTGCCTAAGCAAGGGGTTGGACTAGATGACCTCCAAAGTCCCTTCCAACTTTATTATTATTATTATTATTATTATTATTATTATTACTACTACTACTACCTACTACTACTACTACTACTACTACTACTACTACTATAAATTTCAACATACAACTATCAGAATCACATGGTGCTGTTTTCCCTGAACTCTACTATTATGTAGCTGGTATGCAATGAAGAGCTTAAATGTATTTTCATTAAAATAACTCGTTTTCATTAAAAGTGTAGACAATTATTGTGTCAAGAAGCAGGATTTTGTAATAATCTCTTTTGGTATGTGAGTGGTTCAGCATTCAGATGTTCAGTTCTCCCTTCTTCAGGGACATAATAACAGAATAACAGAGTTGGAAGGGACCTTGGAGGTCTTCTAGTCCAACCCCCTGCTCAGGGAGGAAACTTTACTCCATTTCAGACAAATGGTTGTCCAATCTCTTCTTTAAAACTTCCAATGTTGGAGCATTTACAACTTCTAGAGGCAAGTCGTTCCACTGATTAATTGTTCGGTCAGGAATTTTTTCTCCTTGATTAGTTTGCATCCATTGCTTCTTGTCCTACCTTCAGGTGCTTTGGAGAACAGTGGTACAGTCCAGAAAAACCAAGGAAACTGCCTTTGCTGCATACATAGATCAGTTTTAGGAGTGATAATGGAATAAGAAAACTTGTTTGGGCCTAAGAACTGCTTGCAGTAATTTTATGTCCCTGATTCCTCCAGTATGTTAAAAAAATCAAACTTAAAAAGGAAACTGAAAGCTAATTACACAAAGCCTGTACTAATCTTATATATTTTCCAAGGGAGTTTTCTCTCATCTGACCTCTGTTATAAATTAATAGTGTATTGCTGGAAGTATTTATTTGCTTATAATAAAAGGCTCTGGCCATATAAGGATATAAAATGATTCAGAATTCTTGGCGAGATCATAAATAAATACTCTCTGGAGAATAAAATGGAACATGCCTAACTGTGTGGAAATTACTGTGTTTCAATAATATTAAAACAAACATAAGGTAAAACAATGTAATTTAGAGGATGGAGAACTGGCCTCCTGTTGATCCAATCCAATTTAATCCAGCCCAACAAACAAACTTCCGTGCTCTGCTTCTTCAAAAGGGACAATCCCAAGTTATTGTGTTGCAAGTTGTTTCATTATGGAGACTTTCCATTCTATCACAAAAAATAATTATGAACAATTTTTTTCACCAGATTTATCAGTTTCCTCCCAATGTTTAGTTTTGGAACAAAGTGTAGACTAGATTTAGGTTAAGTTTGCACATTGTATTAAGTTCTGTCTTTTCATAGCACAAAAATAAACCATAATTGGCTGGCTTTGCATAACACTTTAAGCCATAAACCAAACAAACCCTATTCTGGCTTACTATTATGAGTGAACTGAATCCCAGAGACTTCACTTCTGCTGCACCAAATTACTGCTGACAGATCTACCCTCCATGTATTCATCTTGCCTTTCTGTTTTTCCATTAGATCATGAAGTAAGGTGTTAGAGAGATTTGTTTTTAAAGTTTTAAACAAATAGCAGTGAAGAGGTGTTTTTTCTCAGGACTGAGGAATTTTGATCCAAAACAAAATTGTATCGACTAGATATCTATTATACCTCAGTAGCAAATAATGTAAATTTATTGCCATTTTGGTGGTGAGTGAAGGGCAGATTTGTTTGGCTCCTATACTTGCTCCCACTTTTTTGTTTGTTTCTTTTTTTGGTTTAGATTTTTAGATTAATTTGTTTCTTTTTTAGAGCTTTCACTAACTGATAGCAGAGATCTATTGCAAGTCCATGAACTTTTCTTTCATTTAGATGAGTTTGCACTGTCTATAGCAGCTCGAAATGTTTTTTTTTTAATTAAAAAGTGTTAGCATTTAAATGTTAGGCAAGTTACCAAGTTCAGGGCTGAAACATGAACTCTGTTGCAAAAGGAATGTGCATGGGTACACTGTGGTAGCTAAGATACAGATAGGACAAGAAAGACTGTTCTTCTGTCAGGCAACTTTACTTTCATAGCTACCTTTTAATCTTTTGCTGGTTAGCTACTTTTGTATCCAACCTGCTGTAATAATTGCTGAGCAAAGAAAAGGATCCCATCTTGCAAAAGGGTGAATTAAGGGTGAAATAAAAGAAACTTCTCTCAAAGTAGCTTGGACCCAATAACTGAAAGTACCTCAGGAAACTGTCAGTCTGACTTTTCACTCTTTCCAATCTATGCTTCATGTTTTTTTTATTTTTCAAGAAATATATCTCCGGTTTTTGGCTGTGACCTTTGCAAATATGGAGGTGAGCCAATAGGAGTACAGCCTAGAAAGCTAACTGATAAATTTATGATTCAGAAAGGAGTAGTTCCAGATCCAGATAATTTAAGCAAACATTGTTCTTAGCAGACAGAAGCAAGTGAGTTGCCTTTTTCTAAGGCCAGAGGCTTTTTCAGAAAGCATCAGTTTTACAAAAGAAATCTAGTCATGTTGACTGCTGTTAATGTTGGTTTCTCTTTTAGGTTTCCGTCTTCCAGTTTGGCCACTGAAATGAGCTTACAGTAATTGCTTGGTCATAAAAGCATGGAGCCTCTTAAAACTTCATTGGTATCTGAAGAACAATCATCTACCGAGATTGATGATCGTCATTATTCATTGCAAGGTAGGCTTTGTTTAAATGCCATAATATATATATTTTTTTATGTTTATGGTCATGGCCTCATTAGATTATTTCAGATCACAGGATAGACTTGAAATAAAGTAAAATGAATAAGATTAATCTAACGTGGTGCCTTGCTTCTGTTCATAATCAGCTGGATTCTTCCAGCAAAGAATATGTTGTCATCCGAATACTGGTGCCATGCTAAGTTATATTGCTGTGTGTTTGGTTTGAGATCACAACACAGACATTATTTTATTCTTTGCTAAGAGCCACTTGTCTCTGAAGATATGCCAAGAACTTTATTCCAAAAATAGTGGGTAAACTGAGATCAAATATTAAAATTAATATATCTGGAATTGAAATGAAATGTTAATATGTAATTGAATATTCTCTAGTCATGTATTTTTATTCTTCTGCCACATTAAAAACTACAGTTTGGATTGGTGAGGGGATATCCCCAAATCTTTTAGGGGATGAGGCAACTACAGGCCTTTAAAATTATATTCATTATATACAAGTCAAACCATTACGGTATTTTACAACTGAGCATAGTTTAATAAATCCTGAGTTATACCAAAGGTGCTTTTTCAAAAGGCAATGGACTTGTTTTTTGCATGAAGACCAAAATATCTTGCTTGAAGATCCAAGAAGCTTTTTTAGTTCAACTGAAGAAGCTTCTTAGATGAGAAATGAAACATCTTCAAGTGAAGAAACAAAGTCCAGTTGCCTTTTGAAAAAGCACCTTTGGGACAACTATGACCTGGATGACTGAGAATCTCCATAGACATAGAATCTCCATTGAAATTCATTCATTTCTATGAATGAATTTCACAAAATTGTAAATGTATGGATTTATGCTCTGAACCTTCATTTAATAGCATTAGTATCAATTGTTTCCTCTTGTTTAGAATGTATTGATTGTTCTATTTCATTAGTTGAAAAACCTAATTTGTCTTTGGAAGAAGAATGATGTTCAAATCAAATTGGTGAAACCTAAAACAAGTGAACCAATTCCAGTCCATTGGAAGTGGTGTCTCTGATATATTCAAACCGGTCTGTGTCGGTGTGTGTGTCAAATGGGAACCTTCCACAGGACATGCCTAAAGTATGCATTGGCTCAATAAAATTTGTAAAGCGTTCTTTTCAAAGGTTTTGCAGAACCTTGATAGAAATAATTTTGCTTTCATTCTCTTGCTCTTGTGAAGACTTGTCAAGAAATTTTTTTGATATTCAGAAATCCTCAGCCCAAATACTTACCTGTTTTGTACTTTGCTGAATGTATAGAGTGAGGGTGCTCACTTAATATGAAAAAGCAGATTGGAAAATGGGATGTTTGTTTATTTCTGAATGCTCAGTAGGCATTCACCGGCATTGTAGCCTACTGAGCTATAGTTTAGTAAAGCATACATACTGATGACAGAATGTCACCAGTCAAGTTCCTGTCATCTAGGGCTGAAAAAGACCCCTGACCATAAACCTGGGGAACTTTTGCAAACATTGCAGAGAATGCTATGCTATACAGATGAATGGTCTACTCTATTGTAAATCAGTACCCTCTTAACTTTAAGAATATGAGATGCATGTTGGCTACTGCTTTAATCAAATCACAACTTTCATTCCTGCTGCCAAAATCATGGATTTAATATGTGGACAAATTTATAACAGGTCATGGCTATCTTCATACATGATGCCTAAATATGGTTTGCTTAAAGATGATCTAGTGAATTAACTACAATTAATTGAATTCATAACCAAAACATATGTGATCAGTGCAAGATAATGATTATATTTGTTAGCTGTATTCTGTGATTAATTTTGGTTTACCGAATTCATTCTATATCTGAATTGCCAACAGAAACTGGACTTGCACAATACCCTGGGCTAAAATAACGAGATAAGCAAGATATTTTGAACAGATTGACAGAAATATCACTTAAATCACTCAACATGGCAAATCATTTTTTCCAATTTACTGTATTATGTGAAGCAGTGCAGTGGTATGAAAACCACTTGATGGTTTATATGACATGAGGTTTATATGACATATTAAGATAACCAATTGTGGCTTGATTGATAAACTATGGATAAAACAATGTGAATCTAGTATATATAAATAAGCCTGCAAAAATTTACTCTTCTGAGCTTGTTTGTTATTAGTTCAGAAACTAGGAATTTAAAATTTCATGCTAGTAATTGCAAAGGAGGGATAGGGCAGTCTATAAAATATTTGACAGCTTGCTTGCTCACCTGCATGGAATTCTAGTTGCTCTTGGCTCTTAGGCAAGTTACAAGCCTGTATCTACATGCTAACAATGAAGAAAGAGTAACAGAGCAAAAACACCTTGTTTAGTCACTTTCCTGGAATTGTGATTGGCTAGGAAAGTGGATAAGCACAAGTCTACTTGAAGTGATTTAATAAATCAAGTTTTTTTGGTATATATCTTCACATTATCTGTCTTCTTGGAAAGAGAAGGAAAGTACAATTCAAAGAAAAACTTTAGCCCTAGTTATGAATATCCCACTTCATTGCAAAAATGTGAAGGAGCTGTATAATTTATCAATTAGGAATTCTGTTGGTAGTGATTTTCCTAGCTGGTTTTCATGAGTAGAAATGCATAGGCTTTATGTTTCCCTTAGGGAGGCTGACAGGCTGACTCTGCCCACTGCCAGGAGTTTAATCCTGACCGGCTCAAGTTTAACTCAGCCTTCCATTCTTCTGAAGTCACTAAAATTAGGACAATATGCTGACATTTGTAAACTGCTCAAAGACTATGGAATAGTATGTGGAATAGTATATAAATCTAAGTGCTATTGAAGTAATTTGCTATGGTGCAGTAGCACCACTGTTTAATATTTTTCGTTAGAAAGGGAAATCAGTTTAGGTGTGTCTACTACCACACCCTTCTCCTTAAAAAAAAAATCATAAATGCCAAGGATGAAGAAACAGTCAACAAATTCTGTGATGACTCATGGCATTTTCCATTTGATTGAGTTATTGTGCAACCACACTGAATTGAGAGAAATATTACCTGAAAGACAGATGGTGTGATTTAATCTGCTTTTCCTTAGTCTGTATATCCTTCCTAGAGACAGAGAGCTTAAATATGGATGCCAACAGCTTACTGATATATGAAAATCCAGAGGCATCAATGGGGAAAGAAAGCCAGGCTACACCTAACATTATGGGTATGGATATCCATTTGTGCAGTGGGACTAATGAAGTGCTTGCTTCCTCCTTGGATGCCCCAGGTATCTTCTTAATTCACCCGGAACACATTTGTGAATCTGTTCTGCGAACTGACAATAATAATAATAATAATAATAATAATAATAATAATAATAATAATAATAATAATAATAATAATAATAATAATAATANTTGCTTCTTGTCCTGCCTTCAGGTGCTTTGGAAAATAGCTTGACTCCCTCTTCTTTGTGGCAGCCCCTGAGATATTGGAACACTGCTATCATGTCCCCCCTCGTCCTTCTCTTCATTAAACTAGACATACCCAATTCCAGCAACCATTCCTTATACTGTATGCTTTAGCCTCCAGTCCTCTAATCATCTTTGTTGCTCTTCTCTGTACTCTGTACTCTTTCTAGTTACTACAGTTACTACAGTTACTACTATTGAGCAAGGTACCCCTTATACTATACCTGTGCATTTGGTTTTTCTTGCCTAAATGTAGAACCTTGCTTTTTTCACCATTGAATTTCATTTTGTTAGATAGCGCCCAGTGTTATAGTTTGTAGTTGCATACTCTTGTTTGCAGGGTGTGAAGGAATAAATTAATGTTTCTGATGTTGTGCCACCTGCGCAGATACTTTATGGACAAGGAACAATTTCATTTTATGCTGCTTCTTGTGTAATCATTTAGAGTGACCTTCAAATATAAAAAAATGTTAAGGCAACAATATTGCAGTACTGTACTTAAAAAATGAATAGAAAAGTAGGAACATTCATCCATAGCATTCCCACAAGGAAGGCCTGAGTGGAAAGGTAAATCTTCAATAAATATCTGAAAGGCATTAGAGGTAGTCCTTGACTTACAACAGTTCATTTAGTGACCATTCAAAGTTACAATGGCACTGAAAAAAATGACTTATGACAGTATTTCACACTTATGACCGTTGCAGCATTCCCATGGTCATGTGGTCAAAATTCAGCGACTGGTTCATATTTATGACGGTTGCAGTGTCCTGGGGTCATTTTGTGAACTTTTGCGAACTTCTGATGAGCAAAGTCAATGGGAAAGTTAGATTCATTCAACAACTGTGTCACTAACTTAGCAACTGCAGTCATTCACTTAACTGTGGCAAGCAAGGTCGTAAAATGGGGCAAAATTCACTTAACAAATGTCTCACTTAGCAACAGAAATTTTTGGCTCAGTTGTCATAAGTCAAGGACGACCTATATACTAAGTTCTTATGAATTTCAGGGGAAAGAGCATTCCAGACAGCAGGTAACATCAGAGAGAGGTTCCCTATCAGTAACCGGATGAGAACATTGCCAATCACAGCACACACAATAAGATCTCTTCTCATGAGCTTATAGATCATCCAGTTCTGTAATGGACAAAACAGTCTGGAAGATAGCCTACTCCGAGATGTTTTATACTTTATAAGCCCAAAGAAGAACTTTGAACATAGTTTGGGAATTAATTGGTCACTAATGCAGTTGCTTGAAGACAGCAGTAACATCTCTATAACTGATCCCCTACTCAGCAAACAAGTAATTGTATTCTGCATCAATTGCAGCTCCAAAACAAAACATATTACTCACTGTAATCTCAGTGTATGGTTACCAGTGTACACCAGCCAAAGTTAGTAATATGCAGCAGACAGACTGAAGGTAGACAATGTTTTATGATGCAATGTTGATTAGAAGTTCATTGTCTATTGTTGAAGCTGGATGATGCTGTTTATTAGCAGTGCTGCTTACATGAATTTACCTGAAAGCAAATTAATTTTGCTTAGCATCTATTAGACCTATGGACAGA